AATACAGACAATACAGAGTTACAAACAAAGTGGTAGGGAATTAACAATGGTGGTTGTATTACATATTGATATCTTCAAAGTGGCTTCTCATGAAAACAGATATAAACATGCAATACTGGTCAACCAAAGAAACCACTGAAGAGTAAAGGGCTTCTGGGATGTGGGAAAAGAGAAGGGAACGAAGGAGAAATTTTGTATGTATGTATATACAGGATAGATAACATGGTTGTTCTTCTGTCTTCTATTTCTGTGCTGAAAGAACATTTCATCTTAATGGATCCAGCTAACCCAACAGGCCTTATCTGAACTTAATGCAGTGGGTTGGAATGTGTTGTGCTCATTTTTCACCCTCCAGGTTCATTGGATAATTGCAGAAGTTTAGTACCACATCTTGGGAGGCAGCTGCATGGGGTGCAATGGAAATGAGCAATTAATATTTTCCCAGCACCACCCATGTAACAGACAGAATCCTCACATCTTTGGCATCATTTATTTTCATGATGTGGATAATAATACCTGTCAGTGTAACGATTTTTATTCAGACTTTGTAGACAAAACTGAAGCTCAATAAATTATTTTTCCAATATTTATGACTATTAAGAAATAAGATGGCATATATTCTAAATGCTGGAAGCCAGGAATGTGAATCTGGGTTTTTCAGAAAGGACTTGTGGGTAACTTGGGAAGTCAGAAGTGCAGGGGTCATTACTGGTGCTCAGCATAGGCTCGCCTGCAGCAGGCCCTCAGAAAATATTATTGGAATGACTTGGGAATCCAGGCCAGTCAACCTCTTTTGATGGAGTTTGAGAAGAGTTTGTGTGCATGGAGAAATGTAGGTGTTTAGTGTAGGTGCAGAACATTAGTCAGATAGTGAACATCTGATTCCCAAGACCCATTTGGAAGGAAGAGCACATTAGTCTTACAGTGAAAGAAGCAAATAATTGAGCTCTGGAACTCAAGATGCACTTTAGAGTCAACTGAAATTTTTTGAGTAGATGCTGTGAGCACTGTTCTTATCTTTGTTAGTTGTCACTCTGTCTTATTTCACCTTTACAACAAACACCTTTCACATTTGAAGAAACAGGTTTCCATCAGTTGTGACTTCCCAGTGTCACGTACAAGTATGTGTCCAGGTCAGTGTTGGAGCCCAGGCCTCTTGACTCACTCCAGGGTTGTGAACAGGATGAGTGTTGCATGTTTTCCATAGACATCATATTTGACCTGTCAATCACATCTAGTCTCATCTGACTTCCAGGATAGCTCTGTCTTTTAATTTCCCTTTTAAAACACTGACAACTCTGTCTTAGTTTCACTTGTGAGCTCCTTCTAACTCTGCTGGCCTGTGAATGTTGGCGTGTTCACTGTTCTGTGTGTACCTCTTCTCTTTTCTGTCTACATTCACTTGCCTGTGTACTTATATAGTCTAATGAGTTTCAGCACCACCATCATGACACTGAAACTAAGATGTCTAGCCCAGAACCTTCTTCTTAACTCTGCACAGCTCTAGTTCAATGTCCAGGAAGGATCCCAACCTTCAACTCTTCCACACTGCTTTCCTGATATTCCCTAGGACTTGATAGTGCTGTATATTTCCTATTAGTTATGAGCAACTCCATCCGTCCAAGGGCTCAAGTCCAAAACTACAGCATTACCTTACTGCTCTCTTTTACACAGTTCCAATCTGTCAGCAAATCCTGCTGCTGATGTCTACAGAAAAATGCGTGGGTTTTGGGCAGTTCTTACCGCTCCCACAGCTGCACCGTTGGCCCATTTCACTGTCAACTCTTACCTGGCTCATTGCCAGCACCTTTCCTGGTGTGAGATCGCCCACCAGAGCTACCTTGTGAAAGGTAAATCAAATCATGCCACTCGCAGCTCAGAACCAATGCATTCAAAGTAAAGCCAATATACTTATAATGACATCATGTCATGTACAAATATGTACATGATCTGGCCTCATTAAACAAACTTCCACTCTTGGCCTTTTCTCTGGATACTTCATCTGCAGAGACAGATATCTGTCATTCTAGGTCCTTAACCTTTTTTAGGCCATTCCTAGATAGGCTGTCTACACTGCCCTCTATCCTCACACATACTTCCCTCCCTTCCCCTGCCCCACTTCATTCTTCTCCACAGCACTTTCTGCTCTTCAGCAAGTCTGTTTTTGACCTACCTAGCTGCGTAGCCATCTATTGTCTCTCTACTCCGATGTGTGTAGCAACAAGGCAGGAGCAATTGTTATTTTGTTTCCTATTGTATCCGCAGAGTAGAGTGTGGGAGTGGGAGAATGGCATATTTTGTAATGTGAGCAACTACTTTTAAGATAACAATATGCAATATAATAACCATTGTTAATTTCCTAGCATCTTGTTTTGAAATTCTGCATCATTTTTATTGTTTATTTTCTCTCTTTAAAATAAAAATAAAAAATAAAAAAGAGATGAAATTTCTAAATGTAAGGAGTGAATGGAAAGGAATGAGCCATAAAAATTTGTCACACACAGAAAAAGGCATGGAGCTCAATACAATCCCTGATCCAGAAGCTTAGGCAGTGTCAGGGAGGTTTGAAGAGGGAGAGGTGCATCAACCTGTACCACAAAATATTCAACCATGAGAAACTATCCCCTCAGAATCCCAAAGTGAAGTTTCTGTGCCTCAGGAGAAAATGCATGAGCTCTCAGCAATGTGATAGACCATGAACTATGAAATATTTGTAATCAGCTGTGTAAATATAGAACATAAGTTCTGATTCAATTTTTGTGATGGCATACAATTGTAAAATAAATAGAAAATGAAGAAAAGAATAACTTTGTGTATCTTTTCATGGGAACATCCCTTACTGCCTGTCACTGAAGCCAACTTCCACCCACACAGCCCTGCCCCATTAAGCCCTTTCCATTTTTGGCAGATATCCCAGGGTAAAAAGAGCACAGAGCCTGGACTCAGAGAGCCCTAGCTTCACGTTGTTGCCATGCTATTTGCTCACTACAGACTATTGCTGGCTACAGAATGTGGGTCCCTTGTTTACCCTTCTGAGCCTCAATATATTAGCTTAGCATTGCATGGGAAATTAAAGTCTACAGTTTCTTTTTCTTTTCCGCTTTATACTAATACATGTTTGCAGTACATAATCATTACATTTGTTGTGGGAAGGTGGTACAAGTACATAACTCATATTAATCTCCTCTGCCAGCTCTTGGTCCCTTTCCTGTTGGCAAAAGCTCTATTTCCATTCTGAACTAATTTCTTCCTACATGTTTTTAACTAACTGTGGCCCATGTCCTGAAAATACACAGGTATAGCAGCAAGAATGGTCTTAAAGCCTGCTAGAAAGCTAATGCCCCACCTAAAATGTATATTTTAGATAATGGCTCAACATTGTTCATGTTCTGCTTTGCATTTGAGGTCAGACTGGACTCCAGACCATTTCAATGGCAGCTAGTGGGAACTGAAATCAAGAACTCCATTCTGACCCTGCCCAGGTGTGTTGACTCCGCGAGTGGTTCTGCGGTGTGTCCTGGTATGATATTCCTGGACTGCTCGGCCTGTCAGCTCCTGAAACTGTTCATGGAAGTCATTTGGGGAGGACAGTTTAGGAAACTGCTCTCCTCAGCTGTTATTCTGAATTCAGCCCTCTCAGTGCTTCTGTGTCCCTCTAGGGCTTCACTCAGGCCAAAGACCAGAGTGGCTACAGGTTCTTGTTTTAATTAATCTCATGCTGTCTACAGCTATCGTGGAAGTAGGCTATGTGATACTGAACCCCAACTCAGAGGAATACAATTGGAAACCTGTTTCAATAGTTCCTTTTGTCATGTTATATCCTATGTCAAATTTTTTCCCAATTCCTATCCCTACCCAAACTGCAATTGCTGCCTCTCTTAGCCATCAGTACAATACAGCTATGCTCTTATTCACATACACAATCTCCTCTATTTTCTCCCCAATGCAAACTCCTCCCATTGCTAAGACACCAATGAATTGGTGAAGACTTAGTGAGAGAGGAGAAACAAAGGTCAACCAGGGAGATAACCACAGTGCAATTTAAATGGCTTTGTTTCATGACAGGTGTCTGGGTTCTCATCTGACTCTCATGAGACATGCTCCCAAATTTGTCTGTGTGTTTCATCATCCAACTACTGACGTTTATCTTCTACATCTTAGAGACTGTGGTGGGATAGATCTGGGGTTTTGTCTGGACTTTGCATTTTAAAGATAAACAGATTATTTTAATATGTAGTCAAGTGTGGCACTCACTTCCCTGGGTTGTGCTATGATTCAGTCCAACTGAATTAGAGAGCTTTTAACTTCATGGAGCTAGAGATATTGTTTAACCATCTATTTTCCCTTCAAAATCTGAGGTATTTATGTATGGACAGTTACCTAATTTTAATAGGTAAGCATGATATTTCTGTCAAACTAGCAATCCTCCAATAACAGAAGATCTAAATTATAAGAAGAGAGCCCAGGCACTTGTGGACAGCAAGGGCTACCGGAAGAGAGTCAAAGGAAATGGAAAGCAGACTTCAGCTGATGGTACAGCTCTGGGTCCTGGCTGAGGGCCTGCAAGAGAGGGGTTTTCATCCAGCTGGAAGCTCAGCCCAACAATCAGGAGTGGAGAAACTTTGGAAAAATCTAGACTTGGAGGTAAGAAGAGCAGCAATTCAACAGCCTAAATGTGTCCTAATTCAGGCTACCCTCACTTGAAGGCAATAAATTCCAAAGAACATCCTCTCTCAATAGGCTGCTACTTTGGTTCTAGCTCATTGGATCCGACAGCTAGTGGGGGAGGCCTGGCTGAAGTGATGCTGGTCCCTAGGGAAGACTGGAGAGTGGCACCTATTGCTTTCCTATTGGGCGCATTCCCAAGACGCAAAGGTACACTCACTGTGTCATCCAGCAGATGTGGAAGATGGGCCAGATATGTACTTGAACATTTTCTGGTGAGTCTTATGAGAAAAGAAACAAGTGACACTAATGTTAAGATTTTTATTTATCCAGCACAGATTATAGGCTCACTATATTATCAACCTAACAATTATGGCATGTTTTAGTTCATTTTATATTTTTTACTAGTAGGTCTTTGGAATCTGGTACGTGTCCTGTACACATACAGCATTTCTCAGCTCATTTCTTCAGCCCCATTCAAGGGCTCAGTTGCCACAGGTGACTGCAGGTTATCATTTAGGATCACACAGTGTAGAAGAAAGACATCAGGGCCTGATTAGATCGTTGGTCTCCAGTCCTTTCCAGCCCTCAACTCTCTCCTGAATGACCAGTTAAGTGTAGGTGTGTGCCACAAATTAGCAGAAAATGTCCGAGCCTCCTCTCAACTGGGCATGCCAAAGGCAGGGCTGGCTACTTCTGTCTCAGTTTACATTCAGAAAATATCTTCATCTCTTTCCACAGTGGCAGGTTCTGAGCAGAGGCTGGGACTTTATCCCATAAAGGTCCCTCTAGGACGTGGTCCTGGGGTATGGATTGCTCAGGGTAAGGATTGCTCATCAGGAATTAAATTTTGCTGTTGACCTGAGTGATCTGGCGATGAGCTGTGTAGCATAAATCAAACCCTTGACCCATGAACAGAAAGCAAAACCTTTCTGATTGATTTTGAGCAGGCGTATTAATAAGAACCCGGCACACTTCCACGGTCCCTTTCATTTCCAAGCCCAGTAGAAGTCAAGAGGAACTGTCCCCATCCAACCCATAATATACACAGCACAGCTTGACTTTGTCTTTCTCCTACCCGGGGTGGTGCTGGAGCAACTGAAAGCATCTCTTCATTGCCTGACTTTCAAATGCATTCACTGAAACTGTTGTGTACTTAAAGTCACAAAAGACAACTTGTACTGTCACTAGTGAGATGCGGCAGCTGCACGGTGAACATCTTGCACGACACGGAGGGACTTCATATTCATCCCATCTGCTTTGTAGGCTGTGGGACCTTAGTGTCTCCACATCTAGAATTCAGTTCTCCCCCATGTGAAACAGGAATACTTCTTCCACTTGGAGAGTGAGGATAATGTCGATGGAATCCTGGAGTATCTCCCAAGATGCGATGATAAATCATTCCACTAGACATTAGGGAAGAAGTAAGAAGGTAAATCAGTGTCCAGTGCAGGTAAATGGTTCAGACAGCAGAGAGGCAGGGCTGGAGGCAAAGAGGGCCGGGCAGCACCTCCTGCTGGCCACCAGGCCGCAAGGATGCCAGTGCTGGAAATCTTGCTTTTGCTCCAGGAGAGCTTGAGGAGCAAAACTGATTAGCTGTAGAATATCATTTAAATCTTCTCTTAAAGCACATCCAAATCTTTAATCATTATCTCCCCAAACACCAAACAGCTCCAGATACACACACCAACCTCACTGAGAGACTTGTCAAGACTGAAACAGTAATTCACAAATTCACTAAAATTCCCTGCTCCACCGAGCAGTATGACAGCTCCAGCGACCGCGGTAACATTTCTATTCAAACCGGCTTTGGAGCCGAAGCTATAAATATCCTTGCAATATTTCCTGCTTCAGAACATAAAGACAGCTTTACAGCACTGATAAAATAGAAATTACTTTCTCTCTGAGGTCTTGCTGGAATTTTAATGTCTGTTTTGCAATAAAGCAGCTCCTACACAATTTGATTTGAGGGAAAGAAAACAAACGGTCTAATTTAGTTACAATAATGACTCTTCTTGTATTGTTTGCCCTACTTGCTTCTGTGGCTGCTGGCTGTTAAAGTTTGTATCACTGAGCAGAGGGGATGATGTTTATGAGAATATTAAAATGGTGTTGTTATTATTTAAAGATACATCGGCTCCATCCCTCCACACCACAGAGCAACCAAAATAATTTTTTAAAGGAGAATTAGAAAGAAGAAAAGAAAGTTTACAGCCCTTAATAGCACTTTATAAAAATTGCTTGTTAGAACTGTAAAGCTATTGACCAAAGATGACATGCATTTAAAAGGCTTTTGAAATGTAGAAGATCATAGCAGCTTTAATTATTCCATACAAGTTACCCAGCTCTTGTTAGTGTCTTCAAAGCTGAGCGAAGCATCCTTTTTTTTTTAAACACCCTCTTTGTAGATTACATGATCTGGAAAAAACTGAGCAAAGGGAAATTTGTGTTTGTCTCTGGACTGAGGGCAGAGGAAAGTGGCATTGGGAGAAGAAGCAGAAACTGTGGAAGGCTATCTGGAGACGGGAATTAAATTGCCGGAGGGAGGGAGAGTTTGTTCAGGGCCTGGTCAGGAATGTGATTAAGCTGATGGCCCGAGACTTTGGGCAAAGGATGAGGGTCGGGCTGCAGTTCAAACTCATTAGGATTTGGGTTACCACTAGTTTGACTTGATACTTAGAAAAGATTCTCCCAGACCATCCACAAATGGGAGAAAATCTCTTTCACCTATTCATCAGCTATTAATCCTAGCAGAGGATTCATACCTAGACTATATGAAGAGCCCAGAAACTTAACAGTAAAAACCAAACAAACCAGTCAATAAATGGGCAAATGAACTAAACAGACACTTCTCCAAAGAAGAAGTAGGAATGCTCAGTAATTATATGAAAAAATGTTCAACATCTTTAACCATGGGAGAAATGTATATCCAAATTACATCCTACCCCAATCAGAATGGCCATCATCAAGAACACAAAAACAATAAATGCTGGTAAGGATTTAGGGAAATATAACCTTTTTATGATGCTGGTGGGAATGAGTATGGTGATTCCCTCAAAAACCAAAAATAAAACAACCATATACAGGCACAGCTGGGTAATAGATATTTACATTTGCACTATATATGTGTAGTGTCATACTATTTAGCTATTAAGAAGAAGAACACAATCAAGTAACTTGCTGGAAAACAGATGTAAGTAGGAATCATCATGCTAACTGAAATAACCCAGACCCAAAGACAAGTGTCACATGTTTTCTGATGACATGAAAGTAGAAGGCAGCTTTTCAGAGAGGAGGTAGGAGATCAGAGGAGGGAGAGGGGGAGCAGTGGAGGGTAATGGGGGCAGACAAGATCAAAGTATGATATATGCATGCATGCATATGCCACAATGAAACTCATTATTCTGTGTAATTAATATGCACTAAAAAAAGACACTTACCAGTTTGGAAAGAACTGTGACCTCATTGCACCCTCCAGCTAGCTTGTCAATGTTTCTCCCCGAAGTCGGATGGCCCCAAGCAAAGCCATGGAGCAGTTCTCTTGCACAATCGTCTCCCTTTACATTGATACACCCCGTTCCTCTTCATCCCTTTTGCTCAAAACAGATCACATTGCTTTTCCTCTTCAGTTTCTCCAAATGCATAATCTCCTTCCTCTAAATATTGTACCGTTTGTGTCTGCATCCCAGTACCCTAATGTACTGAAAATTCCTTCCTTTATTCTAAATCTGTCAATGTTTTTATAGTGTCTTATACATTATAGACGTTTAAACTCTTTTATCTAGAAAAGAAAATTCAGCTATTATATCTCTGTTTTTTTTTTTTTTTTAAATTGTGTTCTTAGGTCCCTTTAAATTACAAAAAATGTCCCAGGAGCTACCAAATAGCGGAGGGGTCTGGGTGATCTACACCTGCATCCACCACAGTCCCCATGCTCTTATCATCTTAACATAAGAAGGACTCATATTTTAAGGGGGTTCAATTGCTTTAAGAAAGCTTGAAAATTTCTATTCTTGACCAGTCTTTCAAATTGCACAAGAGAAAACAGAGATGCAAAGAGGAGAAATTACCACTCACATTTTCTTAATTGAATGAAGACTGAGTGGGAAAAAAGAACCCAAATTTTTTCACTGTGGCAAGAGGTGGGGCTAATTCACATCTCAGTGAAAACACCTTCGCTCGTATTACAGATAATTAATTTTAAAACAATAAGTACATCGAGCAATGCAGGAAAAATTGACAACATATAATATCCTTCTGTGATTAAAAAAAAACTCTTTAAAAATTAGACCTAAAAGAAATGGGCCTCAATATAACAAAGACTAGGTATGACAAGCGCATAGCTAAATATTCTCAGTGTGAAAAGCTCAAAGCTTTTCTCCTAAGATCAGAAAAAGGCAAGTGTATCAACCCTAGTACCTAAAGTCCTAGCTAGATTAATTAGTAGAAACAAAAAAAGACGTGGAATTTGAAAAGAAAATAGTCAAATTGTCTCTGTTTACATATGTCATGAAATGAATACATCCTACAAAAAATAAAACTGCACACTAATAAAAGAATTTAGTTTCAGAATACACAATCAACATACAAAATTCAGTAGTGTTTCTGCACATTAACAATGAAAAAGATATTTAAAACACAATCTCATAACTGATACAAAAATGTAAAATAAAGCACTTAGGAATTAGTTTAATCATTCAGATGAAAGATCTCTACACTGAAAACTACAAAACATTAATGAGAGAAACTGAAGAAGACACAGATAAATGGGAAGATAGTCTGTGTTCGGGGACTGGAAGAGTCAATATCTTTAAAACATTGATGCTTTGCAAAGAGACCTACAGACTCAAGAAAATCCCTATAAAAATTCAAACACATTTTTTTCACAAAAATAGAGAAAAAAATTCTAAAGTTCTTATAGAATTGCAAAAGATCCAAATAGAAACCATGAGCAAAAAGAACAAAGCAGGAAACATTAGATTACTTGATTTCAGAATATGTTATAAAGCTGTAGTGACCAGAACAGCATGGAGCTGACATATGGACAGACTAACAGGACAGAATGGAGAGCCCCTAGGTGAATGCATAGATTTATGACAAAATTATTTTCAAAAAATGCCAAAAACATACAGTGGGGGAAAGGGGTCTTTCTAATGAATGGTATTAGGAAAATAGGATATCCACATGTAAAAGAATGAATTAGACCTTAATTTCATTCCATACACAAAAATCAATTAGTCTGGAATTTAAGACCTGAAACTATTGACCTAGTAGAAGAAAACACAGGAGAAAATTTGCATGACCTTAGTCTAGGTCATGATATATAACCCCCAAAACATAAGCAACACCAAGATACAGCTTCCACACAGCAAAGGAAACAATCAACAGAATGAATGGAAAAAAATATTTGCAAGCAGTGCATAAAAGAGGATAACATCTAGAATGTGTGAGGAACTCAGAAACCTCCAAGCAAGTAAACAAGCAGTACAAGGATAGGCACAAGTCTTAAAGAAGACCTACAAGTGTCAGGCAAGTAGGCAAAAAAAATTCTCAGCATCATTTTCAAAGCACAAATACGCTGAAGCACCACCTCACACCTACTAGAATTGTTAGTGTCAAAAAGAGGGAAGACACTGAGCACTGGGGAGAATGTGCAAACAGTGTGCTCACGGGTGGTAGGGATGTAAATTGCATTGTCATTGCACAGTATGCATATTCCTCAAAAAATAATAAAAAAATAACTAACATGTGATCCACCACTCCAACTATTGGTTATCTTTCCAAAGGAAATGAAATCAGTATGTTAAAGAAATACCTATACACTTATGTATTTTGAAGGCTTTTTCACAATAACAAAGATATAGAAACATCTAGGTGTCTAACAAAGATACAGGATCATCTATGTGTCCACCAACAGATGTGGATAATGAAAATATGGTGTATATATACACAATAAAGTAATACTCAGTCTTAAACACAAATGAAACCTTTTCATTTGTGGTAAGATGGATGAACCCAAAGGACATTTTGTTAAGTGAAATAAACTTGGCACAGAAAGAAAAATACTGCATAATCTCACTTATATGCAGCATTTGGAGAAGTGGAACTCAGAGAAGTAGGGAACGGAAAGGTGGTTACTGGAGGATGCAGGGGTGGAGGGCTGGGAACGTACTGACAAGAAGTACACAAGTCCAGTTAGAAGGAATAAACTCAAGAGGTTTCTGTGATCATGGTGGGTGAGCTTGATTGCAGCACATTGTGTGTATGAAAATTACTGCTAATATATTGTAAGTGTTCTTACCATAAAAATTGGTACATTCTATGTTAATTTACCATCATAATTTGATCTATAAATTATATATAATTTTTATTCACCAATTGAGAAGAAATTGATAATATTAACAGGAGAGGCCCACTCAACAGCCAAGAAGCATTCACAGGGCAGGTAGCATGGATCAGCAATTCACAGAGCCTGACTAGTGAGGCCCCTGGAGTCTGATTGCTTTTAGAAGAGTTGGCAGCTCAAAACTATTTTTGAAGATAATGTTTTTAGAGTAGCTCTAGGTTCACAGCAAAAGTGAGCGGTGGACACCCAGTGTTCCCTTAGAGCCCCTTTCCATGCATGGCGCAGCCTTCCAGGCTGCAAAAATCCCCTGGCAAAGTGGTATATGAGTGACAATCCACAGACCCATTTGACACATTTCTAACTTTTTTCTGCATTCCTTGTGTGGAGCTGGTACATACACACAATATGCCTTCACCCCCCTTTACATCGCCTCCCCCTCCTCTCCCTCCCCCCCATCTCTTCATCCTTTTCCCCTTTGAAAATGGTCTGTCCCGTAGCTTTTATTATCTACCTTTTATTTTGCTCTTTACTTATACCTTAGGTTTCTTATATAAGAAAAACCATAAGCTATTTAATCTTGTGTGGCTGATTTATTTCACTTAACATTATGATCACCAGGGATACAGCTCAGTGGTGCAAGCACCTGTGGGGCAAGTGCAAGGTCATGAGTTCGATTCCTCATACAAAAAACCCCACACATTATGATCTCAAGGTGTATCCATTTTCTTACAAATAACTCAAGTTTATCTTTCTTCATGGCAGAGTAGTACTCCACTCTATAAATGTTGCATTTTCTTTATCCAGTTATCTGTTGATGGATATATAGGCTGCTTCCAAGATCTAGCTAATATGAGTAAGTGCTGCTATAAATACAGATATGCATGGATCACTATAATATGATAGCCTTAATTTTTCAGGACCATCCTCCACAGCTCACAATTTGCATTACGGATCACTCTTGGTGTTGTACATTCTATGGATCTGGAAAGTGTAATTCAAGGATTCACCACTGTAGTCCCATGGAGTATAGCTTTGCTGCCCTAAAATTTCCTGCCTGCTCCTCCACCCTCCACCAGCAATGACTGACTTTTCACTCTCTCTATGGTTTTGCTTTTTTCAGTTGTCACATAGCTTGAAGCATACAGGATATCACCTTTTCAAATAAATTTCTTTCACTTAGAAACATGCATTTATATTTCCTGTGTGTCTTTCCATGGCCTAGCAGTTGATTCCTTTTTAGTTGTGAATAATATCTGATGTGTTTGGATCAAGCCATTCACCTGCTAAAGGATCTCTTGATTGTCTCCAAGTTTAACAATTATGAATAAATCAGTTACAAACATTCTTTTAAAAATCTTTATGTGGGTGCAAGTTTTCAGCTCTTTTTGACAAATATCAAAAAGCTTAATTGTTCAATTGTGTGATAAGTATATGTATAGTTTTATAGAAATAGCATTAAGCTGTCTTCCAAAATGTCTATAGCATTTTGCATTCTTACCTGTAAAGAAACAGGATTTCTCTTGTTCCACATCCTCGCTAGCATTTGGTGTTGTCCGTGTTCTGGGTTTGAGCCACTTCTCAGACGTTTTGTGGTTTCCACTGTCACTTTACTTTCCATTTCTCTTATGACCCTGAGCACCTCATGTGCTCAGTTGTCACCTATGCATCCTTTTTGGTGAAGTATTCATTAGGGTTCTAGCCCAGTTTTACATTGTTTGTTTTCTCACTGTTGTGGTTCAACAGTTTCTGATGGTTTCTTATCAGACAAACCTTTAGCAAATGCTTTCTTCCAGCGTGTGACTTTTTCTATTCATTCTCTTGACAGTGTCTTTGACATCCCAAATCAGTTTGATTTTAAGTTCAGCTTATCAATCTTTTCCTTGTTGGATCATCCCAGATATTGTATCTAAAAAGTTCATCTAGATTTTTTTCCTATATTATCTTCTTAGATAGAAGTTTAGAGTTTCTCACTTTACATTAGTTCTTTTTATCTGCAGAGCTATTGAGCTAATTTTTATGAAAGGTGTAAAGTCTCTGTCTAGATTCATATCTTTGCATATGAATGTAGAGTTTTTCCAGCACAGTGTGTTGAAAAGGCTCTCTTTCCTTCATTTTATTGTCTAAACTCTTTCCAAAATGATAAAAAAGCATATTTTTCACTGTCTTGACATTTCAGTGCCCATTTGGTTAAACTATGAGTCCATGTGAGGACCTTCATGCAAATTAAAGCAAGCCACCAAAAGTGCCAGCAGTTACTGGACTCCTTCCCACTTTGCATTCACCAAAGAAATAAAGGCAGAAACAAGAGGACAGAGGAGGTATAGATGGCAAAAACTAGTTCAATGTAAGAATAGTCATGATGAAACAGTAATATTACTGGCTTTACCAAATGTTGGGCCTGGGGTACACATATTTTTCACAGTCACTTGGACAAAAGGAGAAACACACCTACAGTCGTGAGTTCACACCATGGTGCCACACATGTCTGGGACAAACCAGCTGCGCAATTGTTTGCATGGTGAACTGAACTTGTCCCCTTTCATGCAGCACCACTCAGTTGAGCTGCTGGTCAATAAGCAGCAGCTCCTGAGACTTGGCTATCTAGCCTTCGGTTTTTGGAAATGAGTGAAGTAAGCTGCCACTTCAAAAGAAACAACTGATGTTATTTTTGTCAATGATAACATTCTTCCTTTAAAACAAAAATTAGAATTCTGGAAAACTGTATCTCCCACTGTGAACTTGACAGCTTCCCAATACTTCAAGACATTCTGATGAGATTAGTAGTGATATCAATGACTGAGATGGTTTTTATATTGAACAGTGAAACATGTCAACATTTGGAAGAGCTGAATTATTTAAGGAACCAATATTTTCCAAATGACCAAAGCACAATACCAAGAAAATTATACTTGGGTAAAACAACACTCGATGGAAGAGAAGCCAATGGGTTTTGATGTAGTGGAGTATGAAAAATTAATATGGCATCAGATTCCAAATTGCAAAAAAACCTTTCAGAAACAATTTGTACAGTTTTTGGTGCAATGTCAAAGATAAATAGCTACAATTATATGAAAAGCTGTTCAATTACTCTTTCCTGGCTACTCATCTGCATAAGGTCTAATTTTCTTCATATACTTTAACTGGGGCATCATGTAAAAGTGGACTGATTACAGAATGCTATTTGAGAATATAGCTTTTTAAAATTAAACCAGAAATTTTCTCCCAAATGTGAAACCATGTGACTTTTTCTCACTCAGTTCTCTGGGGTTAGTAAAGGAGTCTTGAGGGCAACAGTTTTAAAAATGGGGATTACACAAGATGGAGGAGATTTTCAAATTCCCCCTCAAATTTCACTCACAGTATTGACATCTTATTCCAAGTTTTCCACTAGTTCTCTTGAGGAGTAGTTTAAGCACAGTAATACTTCAGTTCATGAATGTTATTGTTCGCAAAAAATTTGCTTCACAAACAAAAGGGTTTGGTAAAATTTTGCTTCCATTTGCAAGTGGCATCAGGTGACAGACAAAACCGTGATCATTTTCTCCACACAAACACAAATGCAACCATCTTTCCCCAAATTGCACAAAAAATTAAGCTTGCAAACTGAGGAGCCACTGTGTCTACCCTATTTAGTTATTTGTTTCCCTTCACTTCACATGTGAAAGCTTCAGTCAAGGGGGAGAAAAGAGTATTATTAGACAGAAAGCTCTCGACTGTGGTTGCTTCTGAATCTCAGAATCCTCCCATCCCTCCTCTTTCTTCTGTCACTGGGCACCATCTTGATTTCCTACAGGAAGTTGTGAATGTTCTGAATGCATTTAGAAATCCTCCAAACCCTTTGTACTAACAGCCCCACAGAGATGTGCTCCTCAGGGGAAATTTTAGTAAAATATGGAGGAATATTCCTTCTTGGAACCTTGCTTCTAGAATAAAATACAAGGCTTGGTATATTTTGATTTTCTTTTTTTAAAATTTTGAGATAGTCTTACTAAGTCACTAAGTTGCCCAGGCTGGGCTCAAACTTTCCATCCCTCGGCCTCAGCCTCCCTGAATGCTGAGATTCACCACACCCAGCTAACTAGTCAGTCACAGAAGTTTCCTTTGTACAAGTGGTAAGAGTGATGTGATTTGTGTGCCACAAACTGCAGCTTCTTCTTCTTGGGTAGATCATCTCAGGAATATGATGTCTGTTATTGTAGAGGAAGCGCTAGGCCAGATATGAGACGATATTGGTTCCACTCTTGGTTTTACCACTCAAGAATTCTGAGGCTATTAAATGTACCATCCATAGAAGATGGTAGATTTCTTTTTTATGCACTGGGTGGTAAATAGAAAACCACTGGACTAGGAGGATAGAGAATACATTGCTTTTGGCACTGTTCCCAACACATGAGGAATGCTCCCCTGGCACAATATTACTATCTACTTTGCATTAATATTAGTATGAGATATGGGATGCCAGAAAAGTTATTAATTGCTGTGAGGCATGGCCTTACATTCCAGTTTTTAAAATGGAAATTAGTAGGGCCTGGAGATTTAGCTCAGTGGCACAGCGCCTGCCTGGCAAGTGCAAGGTGTGAGTTTGATTCCCGGTACTGGAAAAAAAAACAAACAAAAAAAGGAAATTAGTGTGTTTTCCTGGTGTGCCATCCAAAGATGTAAGGTGTAGCAAAGAAGGGATAGTTCTCAGGGGTCAGGGTGCCTGAGATTCCAGTTCAAACACAAGTCATTGTCAACCCATGATCTTAGGGGGGACATTTCTCTAGTCAGTTCCATGGCATCCTGAACTGTAAAATATGAAAGGTCTGGACCAAATAACCTGCCAATTTGTACCCATTGCTACTATTCTCTAGTCTTGAATCTATAATATGGTGTCCAGGATAACATTAACACCTGAAAAATTCAATGTCAATGACTTATTTTTAAAGACCAGACACTAAAACCATGATTTTCTGCATGATTTTTTTTAAAGATACTTTTAGTTAAATGAGAAAGAGAGACACTGTCCTGAGGACCGACTGTTTGAGAAAATTTGAAATATCTGCAAGTGCCAATGGATTGGAAATGCCATGACAACATCCATCCTGGTGTCATTTTCTTAATTCCAGTCCAGCAGCAATCAAGAGGTGAAGAGGAGTGTGGCCACAATGAAAACTAGAAATTAATCAGTCTCTCTTCAACTCTACTGAATGGGGAGGACAGTAAGACCAAGGCTACAGAAGAACAAATTGAGATGTAATACCCATCCTATATTTTATATCCATTTTATGAAAGCAGTTATGGAAATTGAGTTATTTAATGAAAGAAAATAATACATTTCCTCAGAGCTTAGGTACCTTTTATTTTTCATCCAAATCATTTGAAACAAAATCTGTCTGTGTTCCTCTTATATATAAACAATAAATCAATCTTTTTTGTTGAACGTTCCTCCTACCTTTGTCACAGTAATGGCCAGTTTCTGCACAGTTGATCAGATCAACCAGGCTGTGGATTTGATTTGGTTATTGGAATGGTCCCTGAGTAGGTGATTTCATGTTTTTCATCTTCTGAATGAAAATTACACTTGTTTCTTGAAAATGTCTTCAGTGTACAACAGGCATCAAAATCATCACTAGTGCTTGTTGTGTTGTACACACTAAGGTCCTTCTTCACTTCTTCTCAATCAGAGTCTCTGAAGATGAGAATCCCAACCCTATGGACTGCTCCCCAGCTCATTCATTGGAAGGTCAGCAGGGTCCATTGTGCTCACGGCCAGATCAACACTGTATTTGCACTCTTCATCTCACTCACACTTGCTGCAATATTTGACTAGATCTGTGGGTTTTGATACGTCATAAGGCAACCCACCCACAGGAGACTTAAACTCTCAATAATAAAAACTCCTTCCTCTTCACCTGTTCCCCTCCAGTTCCCCTCGACAAAAGCCAACCCTGCCCTCCTCTGCCTTGGCAGAACCAGACATTCAACTCTGACAAACAGCACACCCCGCTTGGGCTGTTCTGGCCCACGGACATCTTCCCCCATGAAAATGTTCTGGCCCACAGCCACCCTCCCCCCAAAATAGCTTAAAAACCCCACTCTTTGCTCAGGTCAGGGCTGCCCTAGTCCACTGGGCAGCCCACCGTGTTGCTCTCCCACCCAATAAAGACTCCTTTCCTGTCACAAGGTCTGATCTAGTTCTGTGTGGGTCTCAGCCCAATCATTTGGTGCTGAATCCTGGGAGAGATGCCAATGTTCCAGCCAGTCCCTCCTGACCAGGGACCCCTCCCCAGGTCCACAACTGACCACCTCTGAAGCGGACCATGAGCCCTGGACCTGCCACATTGCCAACTTCTCCATCCACATATCTGGCCCTCCTAACCAGAAGTCCTCTTTCTCCTGCCTTCTTTTCCTTCCTCCTCATTGCTCTCCTCTTCCTGACTTACACCTTCCTTTTCTCTTCTCTCCCAGAAGACCCCTCTGTTGCACCTCTTGGACAGCTCATTCTCCTGGCTTCATGCCCTCAACCTTTACCTGTCGACACATCGAGCTGCTCCTACCCTTCTCATGACCCTCTCCCCAACCAGAGACGTCCCTCCGGGGGCCTGGGTCTCTTGTCCCACTTGGGACTTCTCTTAGTGGACAGTGGTCTTCAGTCTCCTCATTCTCTGTTCTCTCATCCCTCCCTTGGTCATCATAGGCAACACCTCCTCCCTCCCCTACTCTCCCAATGCCTCTGTGCTCCATTGCCTCAAGTCTGTTCTCCTCAGCCCCCCAGGGGAACAAGGAGTCCCTAGGGTTGATCCCCAGTGGGACTACCAGCCCAACATTCCAGGTCCTCTAGCCTGAGATCTAATGAATATCTGCCTTTTGACAAGCCTCAAAAAGACAGCTCATAAGGCGGTAAACTGAGATAAGTTGCATGAAATCACACAAGAGCCCACTGAAAACCCCGCTGCCATCGTGGCATGCCTATCGGAGGCCCTCACCAAATTTACACACCTTCACCCAGCCTCAACAGAGGGCCAACTAGTCCTCAACACCTCCTTCATCTGTCAGTCAACACCTGACATTAGAAAAAAACTCAAACACCTTCAGGAGTGACCCAACATCCCCCACCATGAACTTTTAAATCTGAGCTTCAAGGTCTTTAATGGCCATGAATACATGGAAAATGAGGAAGAACTTGCCTGCACCCAACAAAAATGTCAACTCCTTGCATCAGCTCTCAAGCCTCAGGCCCCCAAACAGTCCGCTTGTCCCCCAACCAATAAGCAGCCTTCGGGGCCCTGCTTCAAATGTGGACAAGAGGGCCATTGGGTGCGATCGTGTCCCAACCCCCCACCACTCTGTGGCCCTGCCCACAATGTAAGCAAATTGGGCACTGGAAAGTAGATTGCTCCTTCCTACAACAAGAGGGGTCCTCTGCTCCTGCTCAACAGCCCAAACCTCAGCTGTCTCTGATGGACCTGCTTGGCTTGGCTGGAGAGGACTGATGGGGCCTGGGACTTCAAACCCTCACCAACGAGGTAGATGAGATCCTGCTGCTGTCTGAGGAGCCCAGGGTAAAAGTCCAGGTGGCAGGTAAGTCAATTTCCTTCCTCATTGATACAGGGGTTCCTGGTCCATTCTCCCCAGCTTTTCTGGTCAAACATTCCCATCAAAGATCACGGTTGTTGGGGTCAAGGTTTCTCCCCAACACCCCCTGACTTTGGGCCTCCTACCTTTCTTGATTGGCTCTAGGTTATTTACCCAGTCCTTTCTCATAATACCTAGGTGACCCACTCTCTTTCTGGGGCGGGATGCACTCACCAAGCTACACATCACACTCCCCTACCCAAAATCTCTTTCACCATCGCTGCTCCTAGCCATCCTCCCGTTTTCCCTGTCTCCATCTGCAGATAACCAGGCAGATCCCTCCTTTCCATTTGACAATGTTGATCCAATGGTTTGGGATACCTCACAACCCATGGTGGCTCAACACCACCATCCCGTTATCATGACTACCCAGGACACTGCAGTTTTCCCAACCGGCCCCAGTTCCCTATTTTGCTCAGACACCGACTAGGGTAAAGGCCCCTTATTGACCAGTTCCTCAACCAAAAACTCCTCATCCCTACAAACTCCCCATACAACTCCCCTATCCTCCCCTTCATCAAACCTAACGGCTCTTACAGCCTTGTCCAAGACCTCGGCATCATTAACTCAGCTATCCACCCTGTCACCCCCATAGTCCCTAACCCATGCACCCTTCTCAGCCATATCCCACCAGGCACAACCCATTTCTCAGTTCTCGACCTTAAGGATGCTTTCTTCACTATTCCCTTACACCCTCCCACCCACTTTTTGCCTTTACCTGGGAAGATCCCATTACACAGATCACTTCACAACTAACCTAGACCATCCTCCCACAGGGATTCAGGGACAGCTCACACTACTTTGGCCAGGCTTTCATGAATGATCTGGCCACCTTAGATCTCAAACCCAGTCACCTGCTCCAGTACATAGATGATCTGCTCCTATGCAGCCCCTCTCTTCACCTTTCTCACCTCCACACCACTCTACTCCTAAACTTTCTCTCCCAAAAGGGCTACTGTGTTTCCAGAATAAAGGCACCGCTCTCTCTCTCCTCAGTCAGTTACCTGGGGTTCCAGCTTACACCCACCACAAGGGATCTCATGGTCGACCGTAGGGAGGCCCTTCCCTCTTGCCCCCTCCACTACAAAACAACAGGTCCAATCTTTCCTTGGCTTTGAGGGGTACTTCTGATTGTGGGTCCCTCACTTCGCACTCCTAGCTAAACCACTGTATGATGCTATTTGTGGACCGCAGGATGAACCCCTAACAGACCCCCGCTTCATCCTCCAGGCCTTTAACCCACTCAGAACTCTGCTTCTGCAGGTGCCCACCCTTGCTCTTCCCAATCCAACCCAACCCTTTCACCTATTCCCTTCAGAATATCATGGAACAGCCTTAGGAGTCCTGGGTCAATACAAAGGCCCAGATTTTGCCCCCACAGCATATCTGTCTATACAGGTGGACCCAACAACATGAGGTTGGTTTCCTTGCCTTAGAGCTCTGGCAGCTGCTGCCACCCTGATGCAGGAAGCCCAAAAACTAATACTCCAGGGCAGATTACAGTCTATTCACTCCACTGTCTTGTGGACCTTCTCTCACACCAAGCTCTACGCCTTCTAGCTTCCTCTTGCCTCCAACTTTTTCACCTCACCTTCTTTCTCTTTCAGACACACAGTCCACATACTCCTGTTTTGAATCCTTAACTGACCTCATCCCTACTGCCACCTCAGTACATACCCAACCCCTACCCTGAGCCCAACACACCTGGGTCATAGATGGGAGCTCCTCCTCTGGCCTGGATGGACCCTGAGCAGGATATGCTATAGTCTCCCTGACTCAAACCACTGAGACCAGTCCCCTTCCCCCAGCACTTCATCACAAAAGGCAGAACTCATAGGCCTTCCCCGTACCCTGACCTTAGCCTTGGGAACCACTGTAAACATTTACAAGGACTCCACATACATCTACCACATAGTCCATCACCATGCTGCCATCTGGGCAGGATGCGGTGTCATAACCACAAAAGGCTCTTCCATTCAAATGGCAAGTTAAGCCTTCAACTCCTCTCAGCCACCACCCTTCTGACCCAGACTGCCATCATCCACTGCCGTGGCCATCAACAGGTCACTGACAAAATCACAGAAGGAAACAATCGGGCAGATAAAGTAGCCAAGTTGGTCGCCCTCCTGCCATGGCCACACCCTAGTCTCCCTCTTAGCACCCAGGCCTTAGTTGCCCCCCTTCTTTATATCCCACTGGGTTCACCTACTCAGACACACAGTTCAAGCAACTATCCCACAAATGTGCTTCCCCTGGCCGAGAGGGCTGCTCCTCTTGGATGGGAAGTACTGTCTCCCAGATGACCACACCAGACAGTTCCTTAACCAACTACACAACTCTTTACACATAGGCTGGAGACTGCTAAAAAGGCTCCTAGACCCCATCATCTTCTATCCTGGCCTAACCCCCTTACTACAGGACATCTCACAATGCACAGTATCTCCAAAACAAACCGACAAGGCTTTCTTCGACCTCCCTTCACTTTTTCCCCACACCAGTTTAGGGGGACACTACCAGGAAAAGACTGGTAAATTGACTTTACCCACATGCCCAGGCATAAAAGCTCCAATACATCCTCACCTGGGTGGACAAACTCTTTTCCTGATTTGGGGGAAGCTGAAGTTTCCTTCTGCTGATCACTTGTTGTTATCTGCCTTCCTTCATCCCAGCTCTTGGGATTCATAAGCGCTAACTTCCATCAAAATAACCTTAGTCCCAGCTTTTTCTAATCAATCTTCAGAACAGCTTTTACAAAAAAGTGTATTAACCAAGTTGATCTTATGATTACAAACAGTAAATACATCTAAATACGAGTTCACGCTTGTGGAGGGCAAGCACCTCTTCCTTGTGCTCCTAGTTTAGCTTTGCAGAATCAGGCTCTAAGTTTCTAACACAATCCCTTGTGCCAGGGTTTTCCAGCCCACAGGTGGTGGAAAGGTAATGGTCTGTGGTTTGCCAGGACCCGGGCTGCACACAGGCAGGTAAGCAGTGAACAGTGAGTGAGGCTTCATCTGTATTTACAGTCCTTCTGTTCCCCATTACCTGCATCCCTGCCTGAGCTCTGGCCCTTGTCAGATCAGAGGAGGAATTAGATTCTCATAGAAGCATGAAACCTTTCATGACCTGTGCATGCGAGGGACTT